TTCAGAGTTACAGGAACCTTGCAAGCATAGTACAAAGAATTTCCATATATCCTTCACTTTGAGTCTCTAGATTTTTATATTATACCACATTTGCTTTATTGCTCCTCCCAGTCTGTGTGTGTGTGTCCATTTAATCTTTTTTTTAAACTGTTTTCTGAAGAGTAAGTTGCAGACATGATGCTGCTATACCTTTAAATACATCTATACCTTTGCTAATGCAAAGACATTCTATTACATAACCACAGTGCTATAACCAAAATCAGAACATGAGCACAGATATAATACTATTGTCTGATCTACCTTACTCAATTTTGCTAATTTTCTCGATAATGTCCTTTTACATAAAGAGAAAAATCCCAGATGATGCATTGAATTCCACCGTCAAGTCGCTTTAGTCTCCTTCAATCTGGAACAGTCCCCCGTCTGTCTTTGTCATGACCTTGACATTTTTGAAGAGTATGAATCAGTTATTTTGTAGAATGTCTCTCAATTTGGGTTTGCTTATATATTTTTCAAAATATAAAATATTCACTATGAGAGAGTCAGAAAATTCTTGTTGCCCTAGAAACCTATAACTTCAAAATTTATTAACTTACATGAGCCCAAATACATGAAACACTAAAGGGATTTAATCTCTGAATTTATATATGTGGTTCCTGAGCCATTTGTACACATATGTGCATTCTTCATACTCTGTGCACTTTGTTCTTAAATAAAAATAATAAATGGCTGAAGTCAGGATCTGAAAAATTTATAGTTCATTTTTAAGAGAAAAGTTCTATGTTCTTGATTTTATTAGTAAGTGTTGCTAATAGATTTTTTTTTCTGTTTAGGCTATTTGTCTCACTTTGTCTTGAGTAATAGGAAGAAGTGAAAAATTACCACTGAAAAGTTCAGGAGAGGTTTAATAGATAATTGAACTAGTTTCTGAAAAAATCCACAAAGATGTGCCATTGACTGAAGTCTTTTTTTGAGGAACAGCTGGTCTATTGCTATCAGAGATTCTTTATCTCTTTATTTCAAGACTTCTCTTCTTCACTCTTGCCTTTGTTTTTGTGAGACTCTAATATTCAGGCCTTTTATGTAAACATGACTTTCCATATACAACACTGTAAGATATATATACACACACACACATATATATATTTACCATCAGATCAAGTTTGGGAATCTTGAGATCCCTCAGAAGTGCAATGAGGGCTTGAGAGATCAACGTTCTTTCTCCTCTCCTGCAGTAAATAAACTGAAGGCTGATGATGGTCTCAGGAGTCATGGGAAGAGATTTTTATTGTAGAGCTGAGGAGGGGGCTGCTTGGGTAATGCAAATGTTATTGTTGGGATAACATATAAGCATGAAGCTGTTTCCTGCTAAGATAAAAATTTGCCTCCCAGGATACAATCATTTGATTTTCTTTTCCTAAAAAAGAAAAAAAAAGATAATAAATAAATTTAAAAAACATAAATAGTGAGTGACATTCAAGCCCCAGATAGTCATTGACTTTGGTGGAACTGTCAGCTGGACAAAGGAGCATTTTTGTGCTGGAACTTCTGCAGGTCTTTTGTCTCTACAACCATCAATTCCCTGTCTCCAAACATTTTCTCTATAATGGTAAATAGCGCAAGAATTATTGAATAACTGTCTTGGTAAAACAATTATAGCCTTCTTCGCCATTAAAAAATGTGACTGGTCATTTAAAATACTGTACTTCTGATTAAAAAAACAAAAATCCTATTGTACACACCTGTCTTTTGGATTTATTCTTCTTTGCAAGTGAAGTGATTAATATTAGAATTCTTTTAATTGAGCTCATCCATTGCAGTGCGTCTCTTTCAGAGAAATCAGTGTAAAAATAAACCCTTTTTTCTCCTGTGAATTGCTACCACTTGCCTTCTAGAGGTGCCTGAATTAATTTTTGGGGGTCCTTAGTTTTTACCTGATTTTGAGCAACAGTAGTTTAGTTTGCCACTTATTTACTTCTCGCCACCTAGTGTCATCCAAAATTTTCTTGCTGAATCAACTTTTTGAGCTCTCGACTTTCCTTTCAAGTGTCTTACCTCTGTTGCTGATCTGTCAGGCTTAGGGATTCAGCTTTGTTGCACTAACGCATACTTCAAATGTGTTTCAGAATTCGCACTTCAAAATTAAAATATACATTTTCTTTTCAGTGACTGAGCCATGAAACAGAATCACATGGGATACGGAAGTGGTAGAGTAGAACAGAAAAAACTACGGCATAGAAGCAAGCACTTCCTAGGGAATTAACTTTCTCAAACATGTGCTTCCCAGAGCTCGGGAAACACTAATTTCCGTGTTGTTGGTATTGTTTCTTTGTTCTACTCTGCCACTTCCTTATCCCACATGATTCCATTTCACGCCTCAGTCACCAAGTAAGAAAATGTATATTTGAGGTTAGATTTTAACTTTAAGCACATTTTTTTTTAAGGGAGCCCCCAGTATTAAAAATGCCAATACTTGTGGGTATTCGCTGGAGCTGGATAATGTGATCTGGAGGACTGCCTCCCAAACAGAAAACCAGGGTCACTGTGTTGTCTAAAGACAGAGACAACACTCCCTCCTCACCATGGATCACTGCGCCAGAGTCCTGTGGGGACCAGTGGAACGTCAGCACCTGAGTTGCCTGATGTCTAACCTGGAAGCTTCCACATTTCAGAACATTGCCCAATTACAAGGCCATTGTGATGGGGATGCTACGTTCCACTGCTGTGCTGATGGGTGGCTGATTTCAAAATGATTCCATATGCTTTCTGCTTGTTAGAGAGCTTTCCCTTCCTGCCATGCCCCTGGAGGAGATGTCATTCACTCTACATTCTGAGAGGAGCTTACTAGTGTCCTGGGCCATTGTGGGATGAGGGCTGTGTAGGAGGATGGGTAGGGAAAGTGGGGGTAGGAATAATTCTGATGCTCGTGTGAGAGTCACACCCACCCAGGGAGTGCCTGGGCGATGGGTTGGCTGTTGTCAGCTTGAGGTCCTTGCACACAGGAGCCAGAGGGTGGGCTCAGGCTGCTGGCTCTGCTGTTTTCTTCTTAAACACTCCCAGCAGAGTCTCTTCCTCTTTTTTTTTTTTTTTCCTTCCTTTCCCAGCTGGGAAGGCAACTTTTAAAAAATTTCTAAGAACAGGAAATTTCACCTTGCAAGTATGCATTTCAGTCTTTCTCCTTGGAATTAGGTGAGTAAATTCCCCTTTACTCCAAATAGTCAAGAGCCTCAAGCTTTTCGTTCTGGTTCCTAGTGAGAGACTTCTGATTATTTCCATGAGCCGAGGAGAAAAGAGGCTCTCGGTGTGTATATGGAGGAATTCTGTGGGTTTGGGGTGGGAATGGGGAGAAGCAAGGAACAACAGAAATAAATATTTCAAAATATTTTCCTTCTATGTGTTTCATAACATCACTGAGCACACAATTCCTCTCTATTTCAACTTATCACCAGTAATAAGTCTTGAACTCTAAAAGATTAACTCTAACAACTCTTAATCTAATTTGAAATATGGCAGACAGCTTTGGAAGTATGTAGACCTTCCAAGGCCATCTGGGGAGCCTGGCAAATCCCGAGTGTAATATTTGGAATTTTTAATCACACTTAAAGCTCTTGTTCAGATAGTTCAACAAACCCTAATTAAGCCATTAGAAAATGGTAAGCCCTCTGCTAGGGTTGAAGATTACAAACAGCAGTAAAAATCTCTGCCTCATGGAGTTTCAAGCCGAGCACAGGAAACAAATACATGAAATGATACCGGCAATAATACAGTCTATGTGAAGTAAAGAAATAGTTCAGAGCTGCAGGTGATTTACTCTCATGGAGAGAGGGTGCTGTCAGGAAAATTCTTCCAGACCTGCCTGACCCGGGTTTTGAAGGATGAATAGAAGTTTGACAGAGGAACAAAAGAGAGGCAGGTCCATGCAAGTGGAAGAGGCATGTGTAAAGGAATAGAGATGTGTGTCCACCTTCCAGCCTGCACTCCTCTGCTGGCTACACTTTGGATTTTTGAGGCTAAGAGTGACTTGGGAAAAAGAAGCTTAAAACCCTCTGGGGCTCTCTGAATCTGCTTTGTAGATCTAGAGGAATCTGGAGATTTTAGAGTAATTTTAGAGTGGGTTGTAGATTCTCCATAAACTTTTGGGAAACCAAGTTTGGAAAGGATTGTAGAGTCCTGTCTTGCTCAGGAAGGTCCACTTGTGGTCTCTGAAATCACTCCTCTTTGAATGGCTTTGGGTGCTGATCACTGCTACTCATTAGGGGTGAGAAGCCAGGTAGCCCCTGGATAGACGTTTGTTGATGAGAGTTGGTTGCACTGAGCCTGAGCTATCCAAGGGACAAACCAGCAGACATGGAGGAGACTAGAGAAATCCACACACTCAGACTTTTAGAGAGAGAACAAAGACACATGAGCAGCCCTGGTCTGCCATCTGGCATTGCAGAACCTGGTCTGTTTGGTAAGGGTGTTCAGTGTTGCCGATGGCTTTTAGCGGAGATTAGACAGGGTGCTCAGTTCAGATTGAGGCAGCTGAGAATGCAGATTGTTGTTGGAGAATTCTGTGTGAGACTGAGTTTGTCTTGCTTTGGTCAGGTGGTCAGCAAGTGTTGGCTGGGAATTCCCCAAGAACTCCTCAGTCCTGTTGCAGAGTCCTAGGTGACACAGAAGTGTATCTGTGCAACGCGACAGCTCGGCTGGGTCAGCAGTTAAGCTTAGGACATTCAATTTTCCAAAACAGTCCCAGGTCAGGACCTACATTCCTTCTAAAAGTAGGTTTCTATAGTTCATAGCAATGTTCTATTAAGTAGTTCTAAATGGAGTATATTTTGATTGTATATGTTGGTGTTTTACTGAGCATTGCTGTAAGGTATGTCATATTCGTAAATCTGCTCTTAAGTAGATTCTGCTAAAATTGTTCATTGTCCCATTTGTAAAGATCTATACAATAAATTCTCCTCAGAATTTAAAAAGAGATCCTGATAAACTGATGTGCTTCTTTTTACCAGGTAATGAGAACTCTGTAACCCAAGATGTTTTGCATGTTGTCTTAGCCACCAGAAAGCTCAGAGGTAAATGTTCTGATCAATTCTGTCATTCTAATTTATTTTTCTGCAAAAGACTCTTGTTCTCTTATCTTTTCCAAAATCCTCCTATTGCATAGAGGTCTCAAATTCATTTTTGGAAACAGGTGGGGGCATAGAAAGTAAATATGCAATGAAATTATAACATTTTATTAAATAGTGCTATCTTATTTTCTAATGAAACATACATGTGGAAATTCTTGTATTAAGCACAAGCTGGGGTTCTGCTTCTGGCTGTTATTCACTTGGAACTCTCATTGACAGGAAGGCACTCTCATTCCTACTGGAATGCCTATGCGGGTAGTTCCTCTGTTAAACCCTCCTAGATTAACTTGCTCATCTCCAGACATTTCTATCACTTTAAGCACCTCTAAGCACTCATGTATATGTGTCTGGGTAACCATAATTGTCATTAGTTATGTATTTCACAGAACAGAAATTTAGAGCTGGAAGGAATGTAATCACCCAAATCCCATTGAGCTAAAACGATAGATGGGCATTTTGAAACCACTAAGAGATTACAACAGAAGTTAGCATGCTGTAGGTTATTGCATGGGCTCTATGGGACGCTCTCCAGAATGTGGAGGCTGGGCCTCAGAGACTTCGGGTGGTGTTTGCATTATTCTTCCATGAATGGCAAACAGAAACTTGGCTTTAGGACTTTCTCCTTGAAAATAAATTTTCATCTAATTGTTTGTTTCTGGTTTCTATTTATACATGTCTGTCTTCTCCTCTGGAAGAGGTGGTCCTTGAGTGCAGGGGCCATGTCTGTCTATCTCTGGCATCAGCGCAGGTCCTGGCACACAACAAGCACATAACTTCAGTTTGCTGAGGGAATGAATGAATGAACGGCAGACTGTCTGTTTGGTAGGACTGTGCATTCATTGGTGGAAGGTCCTACCCTTGCCATTTCTTTCTTGTCTTGTAAGATGCATTGCCCCAGAGGACGCCATGAACAAGGACTGACAAAAGCAAAGAATACAGCCAAGGCAGTGAGCAAAGTGTCACCTTAGGAGGTTGGTAAGTAGCTTTAGTTGCTGCTCTCACTATCAGTACTAATCAGATAGCTGCTCAGGCAAGTCAGTCCTGGAGGAAAGCACCTAAGGATGCAATGATGAGAGAAGCAGAAAGACATGGTGAAGGATTTGATGACTGAGGACAGAAATAAGGGAGCTGAGGATGCAAAAGTTAGGGGTAGTTTTGTGTTGGGCAGGGCAGTAATGCTGTACCTGGGGATTGTGGAAGCTGAGAGGGAGACTCATTTGTGGGCAATTGTGAGGAGTGTTCAGGCCTTGTTTCTTTCATTGTGTGTGTGGTCACAATGGCTTCTCCAGCTCTTTGTCTCACAGTGGAGTCAGGCATTAGGATGGAGGAAAGGCAAGAGGGGGAACAAACAGGACAAGGGTGGACGCTGGCTTATAAAGAGGTTTCCTGAAAGTCACACACTTGTGCTTAAGTCATACTGGCCAGAACTTTGTTACATGATTGTACCTTGCTGCAAGGAAGTTTGGGAAAGGCAGTATTTAGTCAAGCACATGCTCTCAATAAAATTGGGAGGTCTTTTTACTGTGGGAAAGGGGAGCCCGAATATTGAGGGGCTGCTAACAGTATATATCACATAAAGCTAGACATAGAACATAGTCTCTTACTCCTAATCCAGTGCTCTATTACCTAGCTGTGAATTTGAACTCTACATTGTGGAGGTAGAATGGGAGACTGAGAAATGCTGGAGGCTTAGTGCCGGAGGCTTAGACTGTCCTGTCTCTGCCATTTATTGTTACCTTGGACAGAGCATACCATTTCCCTGAATCACTGTCTCTGAATCTGTAAAATGGTTTGCTGCATAAAATGGCCTTTGAATTTCTGCCAGCATATATCTATATATTTATTATTAAAAAAAATTTTTTTTTTTGAGATGGGATTTCACTCTTGTTGCCCAGGCTGGAGTGTAATGACGTGATCTTGGCTCACTGCCACCTCTGCCTCCTGGGTTCTAGTGATTCCCCTGCCTCAGCCTCCTGAGTAGCTGGAATTACAGGCACACGCCACCATGTCTGGCTAATTTTTGTATTTTTAGTAGAGACAGTGCTTCATCACGTTGGCCAGGCTGGTTTCAAACTCCTGACCTCATGTGATTTGCCTGCCTCCGCCTTCCAAAGTGCTGGGATTACAGGCGTAAGCCACCTCACCTGGCCCTAAAATACTTTATGATTTAAAAAAATATATGGTAGCTAAAACCAAGTGAGCAATTGAACAAGTCAAAGGAGTCTGCAGGGGTCTCTCAAGGAAGGCCATTCTGGCTGAAATTCACTGGAAGGCCCCATGATTAGGCCGGATTACGAACCTGCATCATCTCTTCAGACACAATTTGCAAAAACAAAAGCTAAAGTGGTTGCTTGCTCGATAGCTATTTCTCTGCTCTTTCCTTGTCCAACAGGATGCTGATTTTATTTGAATGTCAGTCAGCAATCCTACAGTAACCTGACTCCAAAGACGGCTGCCATGAATTCCTTCCCTCCCTGTACTTCCCCGTTGAGGAGCGGAGTCTCTAGAATCTGAGCTGGACTGGGTTTGACCTACAGAACACTGTAGAAGTATATGGCATGAGAGAGTATAGCCAGCTCCAGGCTTGGCATTCAAGAGGAATGGAGTTTCTGCTTCCTGTATTTGGGAGCCGTGAGCTGCCTGGTAAGAAGGTTAGACCATTCCACTCAAGAGAGAGGTTGCATGCACAGGCACTGAAGGCCTAGATGTGTGAGCAAGGAGGCCATCTTGGGGAACAGCCAGCCCAGCTGAGCCTACAAAAGACTCCAGCCCCAGTCATCTGATGGCAGCCACAGAAGGGAGCCCAGAAATGCCCAGCTGAGCCCAGGTAACTCACAAAACTATGAGAGATCATAGTAAATTGCTTTAAGGCACTAAGTGTTTGGGTGGTTTCGAGGCTGGAGAATAGGATCTGGAGGTAGGGAACTTAAGGCTGTTTCATGCAGACTTCCTGGAGCTAAATTGAAAGGAAAACCCTAACTTTCCACGATTACGTAACAAAAGGACCAGAGGCTACTCCCTTTGCAAACTCCTCACCTTTTCCAGATGGGAAATTGGCTGTCCGCGACCAATCAGACTGATTGCTGGCCGAGTCTTTTTCCGCAACTTGGTAACTTCACCTTAGTCTCTGATTGGTTACTTTTTTGCAACCAATCAGATGTTTGCACAGGAGTGTGACCTTTGTAACTCCACTTCAGCCTTTGATTGCTTTTGGCAACCCATCAGGCCAATTGTAGGCCACCACTTCATTTCCACGAGGTGAGCATGAAGTGGCTAATGGGAAACCTCTAGGGGATATTTGGACCTTAGAAGATTCTGTTTAGGGGCCCTTGAGCCACTGCTGGGCCAGCTTCTACACTGTGGAGTGTATTTTTGTTTTCAGTAAATCCCTGCTTTCGTTCTTTTGTTGCTTCATTCTTTCTTTGCTTTTCTGGACGTTTTGTCCAATTCATTGTTCAAAACACCAAGAACCTGGACAACTTGCAGTTATGACCCTCTACCGGTGACACTTTGTTGTATAATAATAGACAGCCATAACCAATGTGCTCAGGAAAAAACATCTCCTTCTCAGTCCTGGAAGTGAGTCATGATTGGTCTAAACCATTCTTAGCAATTCCATTCTTTTGCCAAACTATTTTAGGGGGATACACGGGGCCCAGTTACAGTCAATGAGATACGGAATGGCCTTCCCTTACAGATAAAAAGAGACTCAAGGGAGGACATGTCTGTGTTTTTCTCCCTGGCATTGTTGTGTCTACACTGATTTCTGGAACGATGAAAGCTATATTCTGACCATAAAGGGACAGCTCTCAGGACAGCCAGTAAGCTGAGGATGGCAGAGCGAAAAAGAGAGACAGCTTGTGTTCTGAAGTCAATTCCAAAACCCCCCAAACTCTATAAACTCCTTCCATAACCTCTTTGTGTTTAAAACAGTTTGATTTTGGTTTCCTATTACTTACAGGCGAAATCATCTGAATTGATACAGTGTGAAAATGAATCTCTATCCTATGCCCTTTCACTGCTGGGAGAAAGAAAAAAATGGAAATTATAAAGTTTTTATCCTTTCTTTCATGCTGTTCAAGTGTGGGTCCCGGAGCAGGCCTTGCAAAGCCTGGGATACTCAAAGGTAGCAGCTGAGTTGTGGGTGGAACCTAAATTGCTTTGCATAATAAAATAAAAGAATTGAGTGTGAGAGGAGGGGGCTAGAGAACAGAAACTCAGGAAGGTAGGAGGAGGTGTGTGTGTGTGTGTGTGTGTGTGAGAGAGAGAGAGAGAGAGAGCAGGGCAAAGAGAAATAGGAAGGGGAGCTGATCCCAGGGGAAAAGGCAGCCTCAGTAAAGTCTGCTATGCACAAAGCCTGCTTTGAATGTGAGGATGAATTTCATGTTTGGCTTGGTGTGGAGCAGAGGAAAACCCAGGAGGTGCAGAGTGAGGGAAGTGGAGAACTAGAGGAAGAGGAAAGCAGAGTTGGAAGTGGCTGGGGGAATGTGAGGTGCTAGGGCTTTATAGGAATCCGGAAGCTGGCATGGGGAGCAGGGAGGGGTCATGGCAGTAAAAAATCTTTAACTCTGGAAGTGCAAAATGACATCTTCTGACATATTGATTGAAGACTAGCTTCTTACACAATTATTATGTACTAAAAAAATGTGTTTTTTCCCCAAGTTTCAAGTATCCAAATTCTACATTCAGTTTTCTTTGAGATCCTTGCTGCTGTTTAACTCCTAGACCACAGCAAGACTTGTTGAGATAAGTCAAGCTTGCCTGAAATTATAGTAAACAACCTGAGTGAATGGGAAGCAGTGTAAATGGAAAGAGAGCCAAGCTTTATCAGGAGGACTAGGTTCTTGCTGCAATTCTCTCGCTAACTTCCTGGGTGACCCTGAGCAAGTTGCTCAGTGATTCCTAGCCTCAAGTTCCTCCTCTATAAAATAAATAGCTAGCTGTCCTCCCTTGCTCCTGCTCTCGCCATTTGATGTGACTGCTCCCGCTTCGCCCTCTACCATGATTGGAAGCTTCCTGAGGCCTCACCAGAAGAGATGCCAGCACCATGCTTCCTGTACACCCTGCAGAACCATACTCCTTAGATAAAAACAGGTTAAGAAAAGAATGAAAAAAAAAAAAAAAAAAAAAAAAAAAAGAAACCCAACCCATATTTCAGTGATCAGAGCAAGAATAAGGATATGGAAGTACTAGAGGCAATGAATTAAAGAATCATTATGAATGTAGAGCCCATGTGTGAATGACAAGCTGCATATTGAACATATTGTGAATTAAATAGCTAAGTCCTACATCCTTCCATGGATTGTAAGAAAGCGAACAAGCAATCAAATTCAGATGGACATAGCAATAAGAGTTATGTGAAAAGAGGTAAAACGCAGGTCTGTGAATTAATACATTGTATTAGCAGATTATAGTGATAGTGGATTTTTTTGTGTTGAAGCCTGAGTCAGCCACTGCCTTGGGAAGAATTGTGGACTATATTTCCATCTGAAAAAAAAAATTCTAGAAGAGTCATCTAAGGAGGACGCTTGAAAAAGAACAAATCCTGGAGAATGTTAACTATGGAAACTGCAAAGGAAGGGAGGGATTTAACTAAAGATGTAGAATTGGAGGTGGAAAATAAGGATGAGGGTTTGCTAAGATGACCTTGTCAGGACTGATAAAGAAGAAGAAATACAAGGGAGACCTTGACTTACTGCTGGTTTTTTGTTTTATTTTCTGCACAGAAATAGAATGTCTTTGGGTGGAGGTTTGAGTTCAATTACCGATTGTTTGGAGCTAAAGGTCTGTTCACTCACCCTATATCCTCACAGATATAGGCCACATAGAGATGGTGAAAATGAACCAAAAAACAAAAACAAGTGAGACTAGGAAGTGAGAAGGAGAAAAGATATCTGAAAAGATGCCAAGAAAATTTTGTGTCTGAAGGAACCTCTATTCCACTTGTTTGATTTTACAGATGAAGACACTGAGACTCCAGAAGAATCCATAATTGAAAGTCACACACTAATGGTTAGTGGCAAGATTGGTAGTAGAACTTAGATTTCCTGGTTTCCATTTTTGCAATCTTGTTACTACATGTTCAGTAGTTAGCTTTGGGTTACTGCGTGCTCAAACTAGCTTCTTTACCTGAAGGACATATTTTAAAATAAAATTTTCAGTATCAAATAGTGACACCTGCAATATAATATTAAGAGGAAAATTAACTAGTATTTGCTTGGGCAGACCCATTAAAGCAGCCTTCCTGAAGAATAATAGAGATTGCCAGCAGATTCTAACATGATTCATACCTTCTTTGTACATATGCAAAGCACATTTAAAATATGAACCCATAGGGCGATAGAAGAAAGTCAACTGAATTAACAGTGAAAACAAATGACTGTTTTTAAAAAATAGCTAATGTGTATCTGTTCCTTTAAAACAAAATTTTAAAAATCATTTTGGAATTATCAAATATATCGCTGTTTTTAGAAAAGAAAAAGCCAGCTTCTAACATTTGCAGGTCCTGTCAAGAAAGCAAATAGAGATCCACATATAGCATATCTACATATCTACATTTTACAAGATAAGGTAACAAACTATCAAGTAAAATATGTCCTATCTGTAAGGGCAAGTAAATATTAAAAATAAGAGGCTTAATTCTTGTTAAAAATAAGGGAAGAAATTACCTTCCTTCACTTAGAGTATTTACTTTGGAAAATGTGTTCTTGTAAGTTATTTCCCTGTCTCTTTGACATGTATGTAAATGTTTTTAGAGCTAAATAAGTCTTCTGCTGTCTTTGTGACCCAGGAATGTCTTTCTCAAGGACCCAGCAGCCATTGCTTTAGAATTAATCATTGAGGGAGATAGCAGCCCATCTCTCAGTTTCTGATGGACGGTAGGAGCCTAACTTTGGTGACTGCCTCCCCCTGACGACTTGCAACATTACCTTCTGTCATAAAGATAGGAGAAGCTTATTTTTCCTTTGTATAAAATCATTTAACTAATACAGATGGTTACTCCAATTACCAGGTGAATTTAGGATGAACCATGTGTTATAAATGGTGCTATCAAATCCTATTATTTGAGAACTAATTTTTGTTTATCTTGGGAAAAGGTATATAATGGGTTGCATCTTCTTGGCTATATTAAAGGCTGGAATTTCTTTCTGTCTTTGTAATTCCTTAGTGGATTGCCTGTGATGTGCATCACATTTTGGTTTAATAGTTTATTCAGTATAAAACTATTTTCTCTACTACCTTTGTGGAGAGGATTTCTGGGTTGGAAGAAGATTTTGTTTAAAATTATATTTTCTCAACATATCCTTTCACCTTGACAAATATACAGTCCTAGTGAATTGGAAAATGGGATTTAAATGAAGAATTCTTAGACTCTCCAGAGTTCTTCATCAAAATATGGCATGGTAGAGAGAGCTGGCCCTGGCCTATGACCTCACCTCATCTTCTCTTACCACTGCAGTGGCCTTGGGCACACACGTGTGGCAACCCAGTCTGCACATCCAGCTCTATCCTCAACTCCCTCGGACTTCAGCCCCACAAACATCAGCCCCTTGTCACTTCTTAGGGCTGGGGGTGTGCACACGGGTGGGGATGCAGCTGCCCTTGAGAGGGTTGACTTGAGAAGGCACCATGCACAGGCTCTGGGACCCTGGACAGGGCATTCCGGAGTCCCAGGTGCCTGAAACACAGTCTAATATTGTGGCCAGGGACTCAGGGTAAGCATGTACTGTTGATGCTGAAAGCTCCTGGCCTTGTGCAGAGAAGCCTGGCTAGAAAAGTGTCAGAGAGAGGCTGGGGAAGGGTCAGGGTGGGGTTGTCTATCATGCAGCAGGAGTAGTACACTTCCCCGCTCCTCAGGTCTCAGGGTGAATAATGTATTCTGAGAGAGAAAGCAAGAAGTGAAAAGTACACCTAATTTCTTTTCACTTTTACTTTCATTTTTGTTAATCTATTTATTTTATTTTTTTGAGATGGGGTCTTGCTCCATCACCTAGGCTGGAGTGCAGTGGTGCGATCACGGCTCACTGAGACCTCAGTCACCTGGGCTCAAGTGATCCTCCCACCTCAGCCTCCCGAGTAGCTGAGACCACAGGTGCACCACCACACCTAGCTATCCTTTCATTTTTCTCTCCCTTCCCCAAAGATACCCACTTACTGTCCATAGTTTAGTGTGTATCCTTCTAGGATGGTTAATTGTATGTGTCAACTTAACTGGACCATGGTGCCCAGATACTTGGTTAAACACTATTGTGGATGTTTTCTGTAAAGGTGCTTTTTGGGGATGAGATTAGCATTTAAATTGGTGAACTGCAACTGTGAGTTTTCCTTGGCGGGCCTGCTCTTGTCTCCTCCCTTGGTAGGTAGTGACGGCCCCTCATGAACTGTTGGTGGTGTTTGTTGACAACTACATCAAACTCTTCACAGACTGCAACACAGAAGGCTTCCGGAAGATACTGCACATGAAGGAAATGAAGAGGAGCAAGCAGAGCAGCATGCTGGAATTCCTGCACCTGCTGCTCCCCATGCTGCCCTTGCGGGTGGAAAGCTCCAGCTCACTGTCCCTGATGGCGCCAACACCAGACCAGGAATTGTCTGGCATCTGCAAACTCATTAAAAAGAGACTGTGGGGCCGGGCGTGGTGGCTCATGCCTGTAATCCCAGCACTTTGGGAGGCTGAGGTGGGCAGATCACTTGAGGTCAGGAATTTGAGAACAACCTGGCCAACATGGTGAAACTTCGTCTCTACTAAAAATAGAAGAATTAACCAGGTGTGGTGGCTCGTGCCTGTAGTCCAGCTACTCGGGAGGCTGAGGTAGGAGAACCCCTCGAACCTGGGAGGTAGAGGTTGCATTGAGCCGAGATCGTGCCTCTGCACTCTAGGGCAAGACTCCGTCTCAAAAAAAAAAAAAAAAAAAAAAAAGTACCACTGTTTTTTGCATGCTTTGGTCTACAATGAAACTTTAAATTAATTCTGTCATGAAACATAGGAGAAACACGATTCATGTGTATTTCTTTACCATGCACAAAATCTCAAATCATTATAATAAAGCTTATTTTCTCCAAAAATAAAAATAAATAAATAAAGCCCTTCGTAAAGTGAGTGGGCTTCATCCAATCAGCTGAAGTCCTCGAGAGAACAAATACTGACCACGCAAGATTCCAGCACCTTCTGGAATTCTGTCTGCAGGTGGCCTTTGGTCTGGAACTGCAGTTCTTGCCTGGCTCTCCAGCCTGCCAGCCTCTCCATCAGATTTTGAACTTTCCAAGCCTCACAATCGTATGAGTCAATCCTTAAAATAAATCTCTCTCTACATATATACACATCCTGTTTCTGTTTCTTTAGAGAAAGAAACTAACACACCTTCCCATCGTTTCTCTGGACATCTTCAAATATACACATTCAAACATAAACATTCAAATGGGAGTCTTTTGCAATGTGCTTTATTTGGTGCTTTCTGTCTATGGCAGCATCTGTAGTTTAACTGATATAATGCAACAATGTGTTCAGCACTGTGCTTGGCAATGTTAATGGATCATTGGTATGTGGAGCATGCAGGGCTAGCATCATCAGGCAAGTGTTTATTATCTCCTGACCCTTTAAGCTTTTTTCAGTGGAGAATTCTTTGCCCCTGCTCCTGGATGGAAGCTCTGGGAGTCCCACAAGTCTTCTGAACATCCTCAGGTAATAAAAAGTCCCAAAGTCACCTTAGGTGGCAAACACAGTGTCAATTCAAAAATCAGAATATCCAAGACCAGATAAGAAACAAAACTTTGAACTTGATTTACAATTAAGCCTTTTACCTCTCCCTATTCAGCTAGAACCTGCTGTTGTTGGGAAACCCACTCTTGGGGAAGGTGGATTGGGTTCAAGTTATTCTTTTTCCGTGTTATTTCTCCATCTTATCCTACTACCTATCTTCTGGTATCTTCTACGGTCTCTGACACTTTCAGCGTTCAGACAGAGGGAAGGAGTAGCAGAAGTGGATAGGAAAGTTATTTCGTGATTGACCAGTTTTGTGCTTTCTGAATCTGGCAGCTCTAACAAGAGGCTCTTTCTCTTATGGATGTTTGCATGGGTTCTTTGGTATATCCTCCAACCCCTTGGGACTTCCCACCTGTATTTCCCTTGGCAAGAATGATGAGTTTGCTTCCAACTGGCTGCCTTCCTATTCTGCGGTCCCCAGGAATATGTTGCTACCATCAGCTTCTCTCTGCTGAGACCTGTCTACCCTCTCTGTTGGCCCAGTTGGATAGGTCCCAAGAAGACCTCAGGCTGGTTGTCTCTCCCCCATGGTCCACACCTGGCCCATGAAATTACTCAGGCCTTCTCGTCTCCATAAACTCTGGGAGTGCAGGCCACCCCAAACACAGACACTTCTTCAACTCATTCATCAGTAGCTACACAGTATACCTCTCCTCATAGATTTCTCAAATGGGATCAGATACAGTGCACTGTATCCTCCTTATCTTCCAACTTCAGTGGGTGCTTATTTCATTCTCTGAGTAGTCTCACCAGAGTCCCTCTCCCTTAACTTGGATATATAAGGAGCACCCTAAACCCTTCCACCTTGATGGTACTCATAGTATATCAGCAGCTTTTGGCAAAGAAGTATTTCTGGAATCCTTTTAATTTCCCATGAATTGATTCTTTTTTGTCTTCAAATGGAACAAGATGCTTAAGAGTTCAATAACTGGTTCCTGGATTATTTTCATTGAAAATTAGATTGATATTTTACTTTGCTGTGGTATATTTACTGCATTTTGGTGCCTTGGTTAAAACTTCCACTTTAACATCCTGTTACATCAACTATTACTTTTATCATTATTTTTATTATTTATCATCTACAAAAAATTATAGTGTTCATAGTATTAAAGTTATAATTTATTTAAATCTTCCACAGATAGTCTTGATGTTGTTTCTAATTTTTTAAAATAAAAATAATGGACAAAGATATTGTTATCATTTGGATGTGCCCTCCAAATCTCATGTTGAGATGTAATCCCCAGTGTTGGAGGTGGGGCCTGGCGAGAGGTGTTTGTGTCATGAGGGCGAATCCTTCCTGGCTTGGTGCTATTCTTGAGATAATGAGGGAGTTCTTGTGAGATCTGGTTCTGTAAAATTGTGTGGCACTCCCTATCCCCACCCACTCTCTTCTTCTTGTTCCCACTCCTGCCATGTGAGATGCCTGCCTCCCCTTTGCCTTCCATCATAATTGTAAGCTCCCTGAGACTTCCCAGAAGCAGATGCCAGTGCTGTGCTTCCTGTACAGCCAGTAGAACTATGAGCCAATTAAACCTCTTTTCTTACAAATTAACCAATCTCAGGTATTTCTTTAGCACAATGCAAGAATGGCCTAATACAGATATGTTCAAGGATGTTTATCTTTGTGCACATGTTTGGAATTTCTGTAGATTAGCTTCTTGGAAGTCATATTTCTGGATCAAAGGTCAATTACAACATAAAATTGGAATTGCTTCCTAATTTCCACTTTCATAACAATGATATCTCACCTTTATAATATCAATATTTGCATTTTTGCCAGTATTATGGGTAAAGTCTTTTTCCTTCATGTTTTATTCTACATTTGCTTGATCAGCAGAGAAGCCCATCATCTTTATATGTCTTTATTGGCCATCAATATTTCTTCCTCAGTGAATTTACTTTTCATATTTTTTTTTCTGTTGATTAATTTGTCTTTTTTCTTGTTGATTTCTAGGTACTTTTAATATATTGTGAACATGCAAGTCCAATTCGGTGGTTTTCAAATGGTATTCCATGGAGCCCAAGGCTCTGTGGAGCTGTATGAGGTACATGTGGTGGCACTTCCTTGGAAATTCAAGGCAGAACAGACAGGGTTCTGGTTCCCTCAACCCATGCTTCATCCACAATAACTCTCTTTTACCTCACTTAGACATTATAGAGCATTTATAAAATTATGTTTTGGGGAAAAAAGGGCCTATTGCTAGATATAAGTATTTAAATCAGATCATTAAGTATCTTTATGGTCCTGAAGTACTATGATCTTTGGTTCTATGAATTCAAAAAATAACGCTGTAATTGCTCAGGAATAGAAGATAGATCCAGAGTTGACAGATGATGCTGTGGTGTGAAGGTTTGTGTGCTCCCATCATTTATAAATTAAAACCTAATCCTCAAGGTAATAGTATTAGGAGGTGGGACTTTTGGAAGGTGATTAGCTCATGATGGCTCTCCCCTAATTAATGGGATTAGTGCCCTTATAAAAGACACCCCAGCGAGCTAGCTAGCCATATGAGGACACAGCAAGAAGTCACCATCTATAAGGAATGGGTCCTCATCAGACACTGAATCTACTAGTGCCTTGAGAAACACTACTAGTGTGAGAAATAAATGCTGTTTATAACTCTCTAAGTTTATAGTACTTTTGTTATAGCAACCCAAATAGACTAAAACAGACGATCATGTTTTTGAGGGCTTCATTTGCTTACTAAGTATCGTTACTGAGCACTTACCTGCTTTGTTCTAGGCACTACACAAAGTGTTGATACATTTGTATCCAAAACAGACATGGCTCCTAATCTCTCAAACTATTGGTTGGTGAAGAAGACAGATAGTAAACAAGTAATTACAATAAAATATGTTGAAGGTTATGAAAGTCATATATGACATGTCATCCTAACCCAGTTTGAAGGGCAGTGATGAGGAAGTGACGTTCAACTATAATCTGAAAGCGACTATGAGCTAGAGAGGTGAAGGGAGGGGGCTATGGACTGGGAGTGGACGAACAGCACACTGGACAATAAATAATTTATATCAATTTCTATTTCCCTGAAGTACAGATGCTTCTCAACTTATGATGGGGTTACATCCCAATAAACCCATTGTAAAGTGAAAATACTGCAAGTTGAAAATGCATCTGCTATGCCTAACCTGCTAAACATCATAGGTTAGCCTAGCATACCTTAAACATGATCAGAAGACACACATTAGCCTACAGCTGGGCAAACTCATCTAACACAAAGCCTATTTTATAATAAAGTGTGAATACCTCATGTAATTTATTGAATACTGTATTGGAAGTGAAAAAATACTTTAAAGGGTACTTGAATATGGTTTCTAATGGATGTGTATTGCTTTTGCACTCTCATAAAGTAAAAAAAGTCACAAGTAAAACTATGATGAGTTGTTGACTATTCATATTGTTTTGCTTAACAACAAAGTCTTCAAATGAGCAAATCTAGAAAGATTTGTACTTACTTTCATGTGTGTATATATAATTATAGTGAGTTGTCATTCTCCTCTATTTTCCTTCCACCCTCTTTTCACTTTTCCTTTTCTCTTTTTCTTGAGTAACTTACAAATGAAAATTGTATTTCTAAGATGGAATATACCTAAATTAACATGCTCTCTTAAATGACAATTAAATGGGAATTTGAATGAGGAATGAGATTTTTGACAACATTCCAATAACACAAAGAACCACTTGACTCGAATTCAACCAAAACAATAAATCTAGAATTTACATTCATTGTGAGACTTCAAACAAAAGTTAACATGCTGTAGGTTATTATATGAGCTTTATTGGGCTTGCTCCAAAATGAATAGACAGAACCCAAGAGAATCAGGTGGTTTTCACATACATCTTACCTGTGTAGAGAACCAGAATTTAGCTTTAGAATTTTGCTGCTGGAAATATGTATTTTATACAGGGTTAG